TGGTGAACTCCTTGTACACTAGAAAGCTTGTCTCAGAAAGTTTGTCTTTTTTTTTTTATTCATACTAACAGTTGATAGAATAAAAGAAAGTCCTCCCTCATTTTTTTTCACAGAATCAAGCTGTATTAATGTAAGAATGATCTCTACACCTTTTAGAGTTATAATGTGTTCATTCTACTGCCTTCTCAAAGAATTTGCAAAAGGCTATAAAGATACACACACCAGCTGTTAAACTCAGCACTGATGACTGACACCAGGACCGCAACCATGTTTAGTTCAGGTCTCTTAATGCAATTGTCAGACACTTCAAATCTAGGAGGAAGGAAAATTCATTTCCTTCCAGATTTTTTTTTTTTCAATTTTATAGCAGCCTTCATTTCTTCATTGCCTTCTCCCATCTCCCATTTTATTATGCTGAATTTTACTTTGAGCTATCTAAGACATGAACACATGAATAACATCATATTGACTGTACCCGTACACATCCTTAACAATAGGTCATATTTCCTACTCAGCTCCAGAAAGTCTGCAAACCCAGTGCAATAATTCCACATTTCAAATGTTACCTATGCAATTGCAAGGAACAGATAGTGCTTGCTACATTGAAAGTAGATTCTGGAATATAGCCAAGCAACAGTTCAGCTTTAAAATCTGGAATTGCATGGCTAAGTGTCCATGTAAACTCACAGGCAAGCTTATGCTCATATCAAGTCACTTTACTGCCATGTTATCTTCACGATGTTATACTGATCATTTAGACTGAATAACCATATATATAGCAAGAAAAAAAATAAGTACTCCGAGTATTTTATTGATGAAAAATACTACAGAACACCAGGTTCCCAAATCAATTCACACAAGACACTCCAAAATGGCATACATCTATGTAAAGAACTGGAAACTGCATCCAATGTTACTGATCAGCAAAATATCCTTCCCAAACTCTTGATCACTGGGAAGTACCACAGCAATTAAAAAAGCAGTGACCTGAGAGTGAGGGGAGCAGGAAGGATGAGACAGCCTAAAAAGCCAACGAGTGAAGCTATGATTCTTCATTCAGGTCTCAAGAAAATTTCCAAAGGGGAAAAAAAAAAAAAAGAAAACACAAAAAAATAAAAAACGCTCAAGACATTCTTTCCACTTAAGACAAGATTTAAAACTGCTAGTTTTGTCCTCCCCTCACTCCTCCATATTTTATTTCTGAAAAATTACCCGTTGTTCCAGTTTGAATGTATTTTGTCCCTCTAAAAGAACAGTTAAGTTCTGAGTTACCAGAAATAAAAGGTTTGAACTCAGAACTTGACTGGCTATTAGGTGGACAAAATACACTCAAGCTGGAACAATGATTAACACGGAAATGTCCCTTTCTGAACCCAGTGAACTCAAAGGTTTACTTACAGGGCTCCTAATGTTTAAAATGTACCACTTCTACTTAACAAGTATGGATTAAAGGCTGTTAACTTTGGAGGAAGATTTAAGAAAAAGAAGTTACCTACTGAGAAGGTAAGAACTGTTCTTAAGAAAAATCTTTAACTAAATAACTAGGGGTTGTTTGTTTGGATTTTTTATTATTATTATTTTTACAATATGAACATTCGTAATGTATAATGAAATACTGTGAATATAAATAAAAGCCAGTCACAAATACACACAAATTACTATGTACTGTACATCCAAGAGTAAAGTGGAATGATTTGAAAGCAGCAGAAACGCAAGGAGGCCAAGCATATCAGTGTGAGGGCAAAAAGAATGGCGGGACACACCTCACTGCGGCATTTCTGGAAGCATCTCTCTTCCCCTTTCACTTCCCGCGACACTATCAGCAGATACTCTGACTGCTGGGCCCGACCACAGCTGTACTGGGAACCTATACTGACAAGCTGAAATAACCAATCAAAGCAAAACACAAAAAGAAACCTTTGTAAAGCTGAAGCACATACCGTTATCCAAATGGTACAAATATCAGGTGAACTCAAACGTTCAGGTAACATTTACTTGCCACTAGAACAGGTTGCTATCAAGCTACAACTTTCATTTCAGCATACTTAAAATTTAAGGAGACAGTTGCAAAGCCCTTTGTAACTTCAACAGAAGTTAAGAGTTACTAAGTCAGAAAACTCCCCATATCACTGTCGTGTAGCCAACTACTCTGAAAAACATAAGCAAAGTTTGGTGCATTAGGAAAATGAGCATTATTTGCCTGTCATACTTGCTGAGTCCAGAAGGTAACGTGGATATAAGACTGGAAGGTGTTACATAAAGCAATATATCAAGCCTGGGTATGAAACAGCTTCATCCTGTTCCAGATATTGATAAACAAAATACAGCTAAGGAAACATAGGAAGTCAACTAGAGGAAAAAAAGTTGAGCACTCTAAATTGGTTTTAGAAGGGGCAATTTACAGAATATCCAACAAAATAACTGGAGTGGAAAAAATTCTGTCTTGTACCCATAAAAATCAGTACCAAGAACTCTGCTCACACTTGCCAAACATTTAAATAATTCAGAAGTTCAGAACAATCTCAGCTAAATCTCTCAATTGTTATTACAAAAAAAAAATATTTTAATAATGCATGGCAATTCCTAGTCCATTTAAATTAAAGCATAGCCTGTCAGTGCACTTGAGAAAGATTAGAGTTTTAAATTAAGTGCGAAGAACTAGACAACAACTGCCTACTCTGACTAAACTGGAGATTATTACTGATGAGAAGGCTCATGAACAGTAAATTTATTTTTATCCTGCTATCGTTACGTCAACAATTTTGAAGGCAGCAGCTAAATCCCAATCCCCTCATACAGTGTACGTATTTAAGACAGCCTTACAGCAGGTTATATTAATCATTAAAATTTATGCGACTGACACACCACTTCTGTCTAAAGCCTTTGTATGTAGAAATTTTGTATAGCCCAAAGTTTCTCGTTATGCAGTATTGCCAAAATAATGGGTTTTTCGGTCACCTAAAGAGGTAACAATTGAAACTAAAAATCATCTACAAAATAACCCACTGCAATTATAGAAGTGGGGCAGCACAACTATTGGCAGTAGGTTTTGGACCGGGACCGATGCATAATTACAGTATTCTAGCAGCGCTTTCACTTGTGTTCTCTGGAAAAGTGCATCAGGACATCCGCGTAAGTGCATCAGAAGTTTAACACCTTCCACTCCTATTTAATCACCACATATAACTGCATTTTACAAGAAAATTTTGAAATGTTAAGAGGAAAGGAGTACTTTTGATGAAAACCAACAACTTAAATGCATTATACGGGGTACAGAGCACAAGGACTCTCAACCCACAGGAATATGACTCCTCTGCAAAAGCTGATTTCTGTCCCACCAATGATAACATGTACAAAGCGTGGTAGGTACCACCCCAAAGACTGCTTCTGAAGGTAGTATGCTGCTGAGCAACACAGGTTTAGAAAGGATAAAAAAATCACAGAAATGCTACAGTGCTCTCAAATCTTAACAATAAAACTGTTTAGATTATATAGAACATTCTAATCATGTTTCAAACGAATGATGTCTGCTAAAAGCAGATCTGCAATAGTGCCAAAGGAGAGAATGGCTCAGGCTGAGATAACGAGAGCTGAGTACTATGAGACCATACAGCTGTTGTGGTTATCCACTTCAAACCATGTGTCCAAGAGAGCAACACAGGGGAGGCAGGAAGTAGGGAGAAAGCTGGATGAAACAAGGACATAACCTTTAAGAAAACCACTGGAATTTTCCAGTTCTAAAAGAGATTCTAAATTCTAAGAGAGATTATAATAGTTCTTTCAGCAGTTGTACTGCCAAAGCAGTATTACTCCCAAATACAATATGCCCAAAGAATACAAGGCTTTAGGACAGGTAAAAACCATAGTATCATTTAATCTGTTAAAAAGTAAAAAGTCTTTATTTGTAATGAAAGCCAGTTTCTCATGACAAAGAAGAATGTCAAAAAAAACTTTGTCAATGCATTGGTCAAAAAAAAGTCGTGTGCATTAAGTGAGAAGTTTTTTCAGGGACTTAAACAACATTCAGCTTTTGGCATGCCAAACAGATCTGGTAATGTTTGAGTTGGAGAACTGAAGCATAAGAAGATTCCTCAGTGCTGGTCTAGTTTATTTGATCATGGCTGTCTCCATGACACCAGCACATTACATATTTCATCAAATATAAACAAAACATTCTCTTTTACCTTTGTGTGCTGTACTTCTTTAAAATGTTGCTTTGTTGTGTTATTAGAGTGAGACTGCACAGGATAAGAGGCTTGTGCTTATATTAATCTCTCCTACAGTTGGCACCAGACACTGAAAAAGATGCTGGTGTCTAAGCACTTGTGTCTCACTCCTGAGTTAACAGATTCATCGCTCCAATGCAGTTTAAATATTCTGGTAGGTTAGGAACGTGAAGGATGAAGAGACCACGTAGTTAGTTTCTTATTGACAGAGATTAGCAAAGATAACAGAAAGATCTTCTTGCAATTTTACAATGTATTCTTGAATGTACACACAAAGCTATTTTTATGCAGTGCAAAGAACACAAACATTCACGTAGCTCACACCTATCCAGCTTCACATTCACACTGGTTAAGCTCCTATGTGTATCAGTACTTCATCTGCAGAACTATTACTTGGGCCTGGCAAACATTTGTCTCCCAAGCTCAACTCTTTTACCCAGAGCTCTTTATATCTGACCTACTATTCATATAAACTTGCATTAGTTAATTTTGGCTTATTCGCCCTTCAAATGCTTGTCTGTAGACATCGAAGAATCACATTTCAAACATGATGTAGATGTTTTAATAGAAAGTCAGCACAATTAACCTTCTGGAAAGCTGTCATTATTTTTGTTCTCTGACAAACACGAACCAAATTTTAACTTAACTGTCTATTTTTATCTATTCAATTTCTGAAAATGACTGCACTGAAAAAAAGATGCATAGAATTTACTTTTTACTCCTGAACTGAAATTATAGAAGACTTTGTAATTATATCCTGTGTGGTTTTTTTACCTGTTCAAATTTCCAGCCATCGGACATTGTGGAAACCATTTGAGTGAGTTCCTCTTCCTGGCACTGCAGCACCCTGTACACATGTTTGACTGGCACCTTCAAGAAGAAATGTAAGATGCTCAATACAGCATGAAATTCACTTTGTTTTATGCTTTAGAAATGGTAAACAACATCACCTTTTTTTCCCCCCTTTTTTTTTTTAAAGAAATCTCATCTGTTCAGAATCACCTTGCAGAAGACTCAGTGCTTCAAGAGTGTTTCTGGGACTAAAAGTGTTACTTAATAGGTAAGAAAATAACATTAGGACTTACCTATCATTCCATGTGGTAGCAAATCATATATTCAAAATCAAGGTTGAGGTTCTGCAAAAGACATTCCTAACGTCTAACTTCAAGGAACGTCTGACCACAATCAACGATGTCTTTATTTCCTTGTCAAAGTTTCCCATTCAGAGCAATGAATAACTAGGACCATTTCGGCTGAAACCCTTTAGAAAATGCTACCAGAGCAACTAACTCTGCTATCCCACAACTGGACTTCAAGAGAAATTTGGCAAGATGAGTTTACAATACTCCATGAAGACTTAGTTACCAGGGAAGGCCAGAGTAGCAGAGTTGAAGAACAAAATTGAATACTTTCTTTAGTTATCATATCCACTTTCATGAAGAAATATTCATGAGCTGCTATGAGTGAGAGCCTTCTCAACTACAGAGCACTACAAATAAAGAAACTAACTTTGCTACAAAAGCGTATGACAGGATCTAAACTGCATCTGTATATATGCTGTATAAACACACTGTATAAACAGCAGTTATACCATACTTAGGCGATCTCATCATATTCAGAGTGTTTAAATGTACAGGAGAAAAATATATTCTACAAAAGCTGTTTTCTAAAATAACTTATTTCCAGAAATTATATTATGACCAATTCTATTACTACCCGACAGTTTTGAACAATTCTTTAGAATGTTTTCAGTTTTTGAACAAGAACTGGAAGCACATGCCTGTGCCCTTTGCAAGCAGACTGGCAGGTACCAGCAGTTAAGAATATTAATCTTTGTGTACTAGTGGATCCAGCTCAGCCAGTAATGGAGGGAGACATTCAGTATCTTACTGGGGAAATGAGCAGTTAAGGGAAAAAATGGAACTCACCCTCTACTTGTCATAGAACAAATAATTAAAAACACACTAGAAAATAGTCTTACCTGTGAGATTTTGCTGTCTCTTTCTCTTATTTTGTCCTTTACCAGTTTTATTAGTGATGTGATATTGTAGAATTCAGCCTCTTCCAGTACACCTAGCATGAGAACATTTTTTGGAAAGAAAGTGTAACCAAATATTTCAGGCCAAAACCACCAACCAGTTCCTAAGATTATCTTCCTCTACAGCTATAAAAATGATTTATTTTGCTGTAGGAAAAGTTCATTTACCAAGCTAACAATTCTGGCTTCCTTCAGGCACGTGTACTTCAAAGTTTAGCTCATTCTGAAAAACTATCCTTAAAAAAACCCAAAGAAAACTGATGCCATTTCACATACAGAATGAGAGGCAGGAAACAACAAAAAAAGGAGCATAAATGCCATTCCACAGCAGACTGAGGGACCACCATCGCACAGACCCCGCCTCAAGCTGGAATACGAAAGAGACACTCAAATAGTCCTACTGAAATACTCTGCAGCTGCTAGCGCGCAGAAAATTTTTCTTCCTGTCATTTGAGATCTTGGACCTTGAAACAAAAGCTTAAAGATACATACTGCAGACTGCTCCCACTCACGTGTTCAAGCCTTACCTGTTATCCGTACTATGTTTTTAACAATAAAATGTACTATGTTTTCAACAATACATACAGAAATTACATTTCATATTATTTCCTGCTAATATTATTAGGCCGTATTTCTCTTTGAGCAATTTTTTCAATACCTTATCAATACCGTTTCAGTACTACACGGTTTAAAACACGCATCCTTCATTAGGGTAAAATTGATATGAACTGGGGACAGGGAGGGAGAAGCTAGGGGCAGAATTTACTCTTCCAACAGCATATTCCATACATCTGAACATGGAAGAACTTCACTCTTACTTCACTTTACGTCTTCTAAAGCTTGTTTCACAGCCAGTATTCTTTTGCTTAAAGAGGACTAAACTCAAATATTCCACACAGTCATATAGGAAAGATACAAGATTATACCATAAAAGGCACCTCCCCTCATGTTTGAATATTTATATTCTATTTCCAACTGGGGACAGAGGTTGTGAAATCAGGAATCATACTCAAAACCCTGAATTGACAGCATATACTATAACTTCACGACACCTATCAGCTTTACATGAAACAGATCAAAACGCTACACTGATTAAGATTTATCGTCTACTTGTAAGTTACTTTTGGTGATTCAAAAGCAATGAAAATAATAAGAAAATGACAAGAAAGCAGGAGACTTAGTAACATCTTACCTTCCTCAGCTAGGTCCTTGTTAATAACCAGTTTCCCATGTCTGAGATAGTTCAGCACTGGCCCGAAGTAGGTCGGGTCTCTGTCTATTAAATAGGCACCCGTTTCATCCTAGATTAGAACAAACAAACAAACAAACAAAACAAAACCCAAAATACCACCAAAAAAACCCCAAACATACAAACGAACAAAACAGCCAAAAAAACCCACAATGATTTGAACATCCAAGCAGGAATTGCAAGGTAATGTTCAGCTTGGCATCTGAATAGCAAGCAGGTATTCAGACATAACCATATCTCTTAAAGCCAAATTTATTAAAGACATTAAAAGGAATCCGATATTGTAGTTATAACAGTATCAGATAGATTGATCACTCAACTCAATCATGTACTACAGAACTTCTCTTACCTGAGCAATTCCCCCCAACCCCTTATCAAAAGATTATCAATATTGTTAGCATGAAAGATCTAAGCAGTAAGTGAGAACACTGAAAATTAAGGTTAAAAATAACACTTAAAACTAGGAAACTATAATTTTGTTTGCAAACCTTTAGAATCAGAACAAAAGCTACATTCCAGAGAAGTTCAAGTACCAGCTTTTTTCTGTTTTTCTTTTTTTCTTTTATTTTTTTTAATTAAAGGCAAAATTTACCTTCTCTTTAACCTCAACACTTTGTTCTAAAAACTTTTGGTTTTGTCTTAGCTCAGAGGTACAAATACTCATAGAGTACGAAGAATGGCTGCATACTAAGCAAGGGTTGTATGTGCACCTTCTAAAGAAAAAAGTATAATGAAGATGCAGTTCCTACCTACTTCATGCAGACAAAGAAGGGATAGATTGAACCAACTGATGCTATTTACTGAACACAGTACAGCACTTTGTGGGATGCAAAACACAGTTCAAGAAATTTGTCTGCGTAGCTGATATTCCTGACAAAGAGATAAAGGAGCAAAACCGGTATTTCCTGTATAATTCCGAGTCTGTGTGTGAACACCTGTGATCAATGCAGTACTGACATACTTCGTGCTGGCCAGAGGTCTAAGAAAGATTGATAAGACACATGTCTAATAGATCCACTGCTCCTTTCTACTATCAAAGAGATCACAGTATTAATCCTTCATTACCTAAATTTTTAGTGCAATAGATATCCTACAGATATACACTGGAGAGATGTGGTAGCATCCCAAATGTTTTGGTTTGGTTTGGTTTTTTTAGTTATTTTTAATATTCTAATAGTTTACAGGAGATACTAAAAATGCATCACTACCAACAATCCTTGCTAAATTTGAATCATCTTCTCCAAAAACTACATGTGATAGTGATACTTTTTGTTCCACATGAAATAAATTCTACTGATCTGATCCTTTGCATTTGGACATTAATGCCGATATGTAAAGGTTTGATTACTGAACTGTGATACCTGAAAACTCTCTATTTAACAGTATCTAAAGTTCCTAAAATGTTCCACTGGAAAAAGGATGGTGGATATATTTTCAGGCACATGGATTTAGTTTCTGAATAACAGCACTTGTCTAACCAGAGTTAGTGGAATGTAGAAAGACCACAGCCTGAACTAGAGAAAACATAAACATCTTTCTATAACTACAAGCTAACTGCTTTACACACTTAGACACACCGTCTTTTTAAAAGTGAAGGGGTGTTATATTTAATACAAAATTAACTGTTCAAGAAAGTGCTAATATATTAAAATATAATAAAAATTTAAAAATCTGCTTCCAGTTAACCTACACTCAGAGCAGACAGTGCTTGATGAAGTCTAATCACAATTTCTTCTGACCTAAACTCATGGCCCTACAGAAGTGAGACTATGCACCAAAACCAGTAGATAGATGAAGTGCATAAAATGGTATATTTTTAATGTTTCACATTTAAATATATTGACATTAGCAAAACACTCCAAGAATGAACGATCTACAGCTACAACCCAAAGAAATTAAATTAGCTGACAACTGTATGAATTATAAACTGAAAAGTATTATTTAATATAGGAACAGAAATCAGTGAAGTTGGAAAGGAAAATCTAAAACTGATAAAAAGAAACACTGTTTTAAAGAAGAAAGCAGAGTCTTTGGTCATCAGTTGAACTGAATTAAGAAACACATGGCCTTACAGAACAATAAGTCTCCAGAAACCAGCTTCATTCATGAGATTAATGTATTCTTTTCCACTACAATGTTTTCTCACATCACCCTCTGAAGCAACACTGTCCACTGGCTCTACACCATTACAGAGACAGACAGGCAGGTCACAGAGGCAAAATAACTAAAAGCTCTAAATGAAGTCTCAAGCAACAATGATTACTTCACTCCTTACACAAAAGGCCTCAAAAAATATTTTTTTTTCCTATGGACTACAGTATGTGAAATTACTCTTACCAGAGTAGACTTCTAAACACCAGACCAGCTTCCAACAAAAACACAAAGGGAACAAGCTATGTCAGGCCTTCTCTTTAAACTTCCAGCTAATGAGAGGCCACTGGCAACCTGCATTAGGTGAATTCATTAGCCCAGCATGCACGACAGAGCTTATTATTAGCACTTCTACCAAACTGGCTTTACACACTCTGACAGCATCCACTCTGACAAACATAAGACAATTGCTTTTGTCTTCGACCTACTTTTAACCATTTTCGTCATTATCCAGATTTTTTTTTTCATTCTATCATTCCTCACCTCACTTTTTTTCCTGTTTTACTCATTCCTTTCCTAACTGCTATCAAGTTTTCTTCCTCACCAAACTGACATCTGGAATCCATAAAAATACTTAATCTTCACATTGATAAATACAAATACCATACCAAACATATGTATAATGTACCACATATGAATAAAGTGCCATCTCATTAGTGTCATAGTTTACTCTGTGAAGCCTTTCAGGCAACAATGTGTCTTCAAAAAATAATAAAAAAAGAAGAAAAAGGAACCCAAAGTCTTACAATTTATGGTGTAATAGTTGTTTTTTTTTTTCTTTTTCGCATTAGTGAATATCAATAGTTAAAGAACTCTGGCTAAATTCTAACAGTGAGCAATCCAAATTCTGTCAATAGGATTCACACTTTAGCACGTAAATTTCATGCAAAATTACAAATAGATTGAATAATTCAGAGTAACTGGCCACTCGTTGACCCAGATTGCAGATATGGAAAACATGTATTAATTAACATTCTTCCAAAGAGAAAGATGTGTGTCTTGGACTTTTACCTTACAACTCAAGTATGCTACAGACTAGTGCCAGGCAGTGAAGGCCCAAAACGTAAACCATTTAGTAAAGAATATCGTAACAATACGCAAAGAATGCACAGGCCAAAGAGGCACAAAATTTACCTCCGAGGCATCTTCCTATCGAAAATGCCTCCTCACTCCTTTAGAGTGAGCTGCCTGATTATCCTTCAATGTACACTAAGCACTCCATGTTGCAATCACTAAGAAAAGCTGATTACACTAGATCCAAACTGCTGTTTACACATGAGAATACAATGTGTCTTCAAGTGTATGTGGATGAAGCCAATCCTGACAGTATTCTTAAAGTATGGAAAGACTCATGACCTATATTTTGAGAGTTCTAGGTGGAGCAGATGACTACCTTACTGTGTCAGCTTTTATTGGATTTATGTTTACATAAATATCCTTAATCATAGAATCATAGACTCACAGAATGGTTAGGGTTGGAAGGGACCTTAAAGATCATCTAGTTCCAACCCCTCTGCCATGGGCAGGGAAACTCTCCACTACACCAGGTTGCCCAAAGCCTCATCCAACCTGGCCTTGAACATTTCCAGGGATGGGGCAGCCACAACTTCTCTGGGCAACCTGTTCCAGTGCCTCACCACCCAAATTAAATCTGGATTTAGAACTAACTGTCTCCTCCATCCTCCATGTTTTTTAAATAGAGGGCTAGATGCCCAGACATTTTTCTCAAACTCTGTGATCTAAAAACTTTGAGGATCAGCAGACTACCAGTACTAATCAAAACTACATTAATAACACAACCCACCTAACCAGTCAGAAATCACTTGGGCAAATGAAGTTTATCTCCATTATATCTTAGAATAACAACTACAATTAAGATACTTTTTTGTGCTGACAGTTAAGGATGTGCTGCCAGGAAGATTTAGATTTTTCTAAAACATTCAGTGCTTGGTTACTTGCTTCCTTCCTTCCTTAACAGATTCTACCTCAGTACAATTACGCTTAACTTTAGAAAAGCATAAAAAAATCAAGCATGATACTGTTGCCAAAAATCTTATTAAGAAAGGCTGACAATCTTCTCACTTTGGGGAAAGTTTAAAGAACGACACAACAGTTTATAAAAAGAAAAACTGGTATATAGATAAAATAGGAAGCAGTTGAAATCACGAAATATCTGGCGGTAAAACTTATAATACAAGCATTAAGTTGAAAAAAGATGAAAAAGTGAGCAAGACTCTGCTTGTCTATTTTTACACATTCATCTCTACACCAAGATTTAAATACTCCAAAAAACAAATCTTATTGTGAACAGTAGGTATGACCACTACCACTCATTGATTTATATATAGTTAAAGAACAAAATACCATGTTGGTGTAGAAATTACAGTAGAGGAAAATCGCTATGTATGCAACTGATATTTGTAAACCACAACCCATGAACTATTTCAGTTTCTTATTTTCATTTCTAATAAACTCATCCAGTAAACCTCTTTGAGAACTTCTTAGTGAATCAACATGGTTAATTTTGATATGCTTAACTTGTTGAGTTGAGGCAGAAACAGCTCTATTATTAATTTTTGGTTTTGCTTATAGGTCTGTTCTCCTCTGAGATAAGCATTTCTTATAGCTTCATTTTCTAAAGACTCTGATTTGGCAATCTTGCAAAGCAAGAAAGGCTGTGAACTGAACTTTTTTCTTCAAAGACATATTTACTGGTATATGAGCAACTTTAATTATTGGCTGTTCTGCTTGGTCCTGCTTCTAGGTATGCAATCTGCTACCCTCCCTTTTGTCAGTTGGGACAACATTACAGCTCTCCACAAGCTGGTTTAACTAATTGAAGTTATAAAAAAAATATAACTCCTCCTTACATACTTATCAGGGGGAGCATGGCCAGAGGAA